GGGAGAATTGAGAGAGAGAGAGACAAACACACACACACACACAAAGAGGAGAGGGGAACTGCTGGGGCCGGCCCGTATTGAAGAATATGGCCGAATTTACCCGGGCTGGCCGTATATCGGCGTATAACACGCACACATCATTTGCCCCCTATTTTCAGGGGGGAAAAGTGCGTGTTATACGCCGATAAATACGGTAATACACTTTATTCTCCTATGTCTTTTTTTGAATAAGATTGTGAGCCAGTTTGGTCTTGTGGTTAGGACACTGGACTAGGAGTAGAGACTTTGGGCCAGTCACTTTCTCCCAGCCCTGAGAAGGCAGTAGCAAACCACTTCCAAAAATGTTTAGAAAACTGCATGGACTTCTCCATCTAGTCACTAGGAGTCAAGATTATCAAAAAAATAAAAACAGAATGATGGTATAAATTCTCATAACTGATTCATATAATTAACAACTAATTAAATTGTTACAGTAAAATTCCAGTTCAGATAAGTTCCCCATGGAGGTCTCAGTTTTACACATCCTTATTATAAAGTGAGTCAGGACCTTTTTGTAAGCTAACAATCCTCCATGACAATTTTTTTTAGAAAAAAATCATTTTTAATGACAGGCTTCTATGACAAGTGATAATTTGTCTCATTGTAGAAATATTATTGCTATTTTAGATGAAGTTATTCGCAAGCGACTTTTGATTGATGGAGATGGTGCAGGGGATGACAGACGGATTAATTTGTTGGTGAAGAGTTTCATCAAGTGGTGCCATTCTGGATCTCAAGAAGAAGGGTATTTTGCTGTCTTTTATTTGTAAATCAAATGTGGAAACAGTTCATTCAACAGCAGTGCTATCTATAGCATATGTTCATTTTAACAGAAAATGGAATTTGTATCTAATGGCCTGTATCTGAAATGGTTTAACATATATATGAGTGAGAACAACATTTTATAACTTTGTAATACATATTTTGAAGTATATCTTTGGCAATATTGGGACTGCTTTGGTAATTAAAATGAATGGGTTTTATAGAAAGTGCTGAATAGTGTGATACAGGCTAGCTAATATGTGCTGGGAAAATGCATTGATTTATATTTCTAAGAAAAACAATAACAAATCATCAAATAAAAGAAAAACAAATAAATGAAAGCCATCAGACAAAATCAGTTTAATGAGAGGGATCTTGGGGATCCTAGTGGACAATCAATTAAATATGAATCAGCAGTGTGTGGCGACAGCCAAAAAAGCCAATGCAATCCTAAATTGCATTAACAGAGGGATTGAATCAAAATCACAGGAGGTACTAAGTACCTTAGTACTTGGTAAGACCACACTTAGAATACTGCAACCAGATTTGGTCACCACACTATAAAAAAGAGGTTGAGACTCTAGAAAGAGTGCAGAGAAGATCAACAAAGATGATTAGGGGCCTGGAGGCTAAAACATATGAAGAACGGTTGCAAGAACTGGGCATGGCTAGTCTAGTGAAGAGAAGGACCAGGGGTGACATGATAGCAGTGTTCCAATATTTGAGGGGCTGTCACAGAGAGGAGAGGGTCAACCTATTTTCCAAAGCACCCGAAGGCCAGAAAAGGAACAATGACAATGGATGGAAAATAATCAAAGAGAGTGTCAACCTAGAAACAGGGAGAAATTTTCTGACAGTGAGAATAATCAACCAATGGAACAGCTTGCCTTCAGAAGTTGTGGGTGCTTCATCATTGGAAGCTTTCAGGAGGAGACTGGACAGCCACTTGTCAGAAATGGTATAGGGTCTACCATGAGCAGAGGTTTGGACTAAATGACCTACAAGGTCCCTTCCAACTGGACAGCCACTTGTCAGAAATGGTATAGGGTCTACCATGAGCAGAGGTTTGGACTAGATGACCTACAAGGTCCCTTCCAACTCTGTTATTCTGTATTCTGAAGTAAATCATTGCTATTTATTTGTTGTATAAATTTTAAGTACCTTCAGTTAAGACTGTTCTTTCAGTGCAGGATACCAGTTTCCTCACACTACATACTGTATGCTACATTATGGATATATAATTATATTATGGAACAATATTATGGTTCTATCAGTTTTTTAGGTACCTCTGATAGTGAATGTAATATGAATTGGGATACTGCATTACTGTTCTAATGGTTGTGCCATTGGATACATGTGCTTTTGTAATGTTCTCATAAAATTTCCAAGAGCTACTTCCTCCACAATTTTTAAATTTACAAAAAAGAACATTAAAATCTCACAACATGATGAGATTTCAGTAGTAGTTTTCACATTGTCTGTTGCCTTGGAGAAGCTAATGACAGCCATGGGCAAGAAGCAGTCACTAACCAACTCCTGCTGAAGAGATTGATACTCTTCTAATATTTTTTCTAAACTGTTTTTTTCTTAAAATGAATGGAAATTTGGTATGCTGGAAAACAAGGCACTCTTTTCTAATATTTGTATTTCTAATAATTCCTCCAGGAATTATTATGAGATAGTTGTAGGCTAGTGATTATGAGTGCTCGTGGTTTGTTTAGAAATGTGTCTGCTTGTCCAGAAAAACGTAAGAAAGCTTAGATGAAAAGTGAAATGTTTTCAGTTGCCTTTTGGAAATTGTGCCTTGGGGTTGGTGTGAGTTCTATTATCCATTTTGGGTTTTTTGGCTATGTATGGTATTCTCAGAAGTTTATCCTATTGCCAATGTTCAAAAGCATCAATAATATGCCAATAGAAAAGAATAATTGTAGCTCAGGATTGAACTACAGGGTTCTTGTTGCTCTCTGAGCTTGGTTGTTTTCTTGCAGACATTTCATAACCAAATTAGGTAACATCATCAGTGCCAGTTTAGAGTGGAGCTTGTTCTCATTTTATATACCGGTACTAAGGGGTTGCGTGTTAGTGTCTTGGTTCTTCCTTGATTGGCTATAGCTTACTGTTAGCTTGTGTGCTTTCTGTTAGCTTGTTTGAGTTGGTAGTTCCTAAGATCTACATGCCATTCAAAAGAGACAGTCAAACAAACCAAAACACCTCCTCACTAGCAATCCACACCCAAATGAGCAGAGATTAACACTAAGATTAACATTGGATCAACAACCAAGAACCAAACAATACCTCAATCAAGGAACTACAAACAAAGATTGCCCGCACTCTATTAAGTCTCCTTTTTTGATACTGGCATACAACCTGATTTCTTTCAATCTGTTGGCCACAGGGTCATTCTTCAGATGTGTTGGCATAATTTGGTTAGAACCCTTAGCGAAAACAAAAATAAATCTACTTTATTTTAACTTGCTTCAAGTTGTATCTAGGATAGTGCCTTTGAGAGTTGTTGATTAGCTACTAATGCCGTATGTTCCTTCTCTGATGTTTAGCTATACTCAGTATCAGCGCATGCTCAGCACTCTTTCACAATGTGAATTTTCAATGGGAAAAACTCTACTAGTATACGACATGAATCTCAGAGAAATGGAGAACTATGAAAAAATCTACAAAGATATAGGTAATCATTTTTTTCCTGATTATTAGTGTCAAATGTAAACTTTACTTCTTTAAAAAAAGGAATTATTTCAAATCAGGTATAAAAAGGATTTCGAGGTTGAAATATTCTAATCGTAATCATCCTCTCCTGAACGCTTGTTCAGGTTGAGATGCTTTTAGTTACATATTGGAACAGTCCAGCCTTTTCTTATTGGTACAATAGAATGTTTTAACTGCCATAGGTGTAATTCTTTCTTAAAATTGTTATTGAGGATAAGATGGATTTATTTCTATCTTGTAAACTGAAAGCTAGGTGCTAAAGACAACCTTTTTTCCTTTGTTTGGAACCTAGAAGGTTCACATGGAAATAATGTTCAGGTTGTTACAAAGAAAGTTTGTACACTTTTTAAACTCAGTTCCTATCTAGTAGATTTTAATTTATCTGTCATTAGAGATGATACAATATCAATTTTTACTAGCTTAGGCTAGCACATTAGCTGTGATACTGTCTGGTCATCATTAGCTATAATTAAGTAACTTTCCATTTGGTCGACTACAGTATTTCATGGGAACTGCTTTCAAAAATATTCTGGAAACTTCAGATAATTGACTGAGTAATAACTTACCATGTCAGAATTTCAAGACCTTCACTGGTTCCCAGTCCATCTCTTAGCTCAAAATGTTGCCTTGATGTTAGAAGTGGCAGCTGCACTGATCTCACTTTTATGAAAGCAGTATTTTTTTTTAGTACTGGTCTTTTGAATTGTTCCATTTTAATTAATTTTACCTTTGTTACTGTTCTATAGTTTTTAATACATTTTATTGGTTCATTGTAAATAGTTTAATTTGTTTTCATAGTAAGCTATCCAAGGCTGTGATTACAGACTGATAAACATTTATATTATGTCTAATCAACCTTAGAACCAGATTCTTGTAATTACATTTTTATAGAAATACTAGCTTCAACACACACATACATCACAGACAAACATTCTGAGTATTTTGGCAGTAATTACAATATCAGAAAATGCAATGTATTTTAACTTCTTGAGCTGTTTAAAGTTGTGGAGATGAAAATCAATTTGGGTAATGTTGCTACATACTGATTGGTGTAATTTTTATAGTTCAGTAATATTATGTCATTAATTTTATTTTTTTTGGGAAGAAAACAGCATAGCTGCAGCTCATGAAAAAATTGCTGAGTGCAAAAAGCAAATTCTTCAAGCGAAAAGGATACGAAAAAACCGCCAAGGTAAGGTTTATTTTGCAGTTGACAATTTTATTTATTTATTAAACTTATATGCCCCCCCCCATCTCACTGTTGAAGCAACTCTGGGCAACTTACAAAATGATGAAAAAGATAATATAGCAATAGCATTTAGGGTTATATACCGCCTGATAGCGCTTTCTAGCACTTTTTGGGCAGTCTGCAATGTAGAAGCATTATTTGCATATTGCACCCAACAATCTGGGTTTTCAATTTATCAGCTTCAAAATGATGGAAGGTTGCGTCAACTTTGAGCCCCCATCAGGCTCGAACTTCAGGCTGTGGGCAGAATTTGCCTGAGATATTGCACTTTAACTACTATGCCACCAATATATAAAACAATTAAAATTAACAAGAATTAAATAGAAACTAAAAACGAAGAGAACGGGTAGCATAGAGAGTGGGATCTTTATCACATCAATCATCCCTCATGTAGAGCACCTCTGTTGGGGCACCAGGCCAGCTGGTAGAGCCAGGTTTTAAGATCCTTCCAGAAGGCCAAGAAGGAGGGAGTAGATCTCACCTCTGGCGATCAAGGGTTCCACAGCAGAAATGTTTCTTCCTAGATTATGATGTATAGATAAGTTCATTTTGGACTTTAACTTTCAAGAGATTCTAGATGTGCTCAAACAGATTTGTGACTTTGGAATGTATACCTTTAGTTAGATTCTGAATCTTTTGGAGAACCTATTGCGATATAAAGATCTCTAAAGAATTTGTTTGGTCAAAGATTACTGAAATTAATAATGCTTCTTTTTAGCAGTCCTCTTAAAAGCTATAGTGAGGCCTTTGCTTAAAAATTGTGGATCTATCCTATCTTAATAATTGTTGATAGTGTTCATTACTCCATATTTCACCAAGCTGATGGGGAATGCAACTCCAGGAACTCTTAGATGAAATCTTGATATATATTTTTTGTTTAGATATGGTGATGGCAAGGAAATCGTTTTGGTCTCCAAAAGAGGATAGATTATGAACCTGTTGACATGCTTTAATCTCTCAGTGGCTTTTCTACATAGTATCTTGTTGGAATGCTTGTGGGAGCAAAAGGGAAGGGATGGAGATGCTATTTTGATATTTTCATTACTATTTCTTCAAGTGCTATTTAGAAAATAATAGTTTGAGATATTTACTTGATTCCTTAGGCTTAGGAGCTCTTTTAGCTTGTCTCCCACATTATTCAAGGTTTCTATGAAATTTTTCAGGAAGTTCATACAAGAGGGTTGGCTGTCACCTAAACTTTTGAATATCCCCAGTATATAAGCAACAGTTACTGATAGAATAAGGTGAAAGTAAATGTGGAGAAGATTAAAGCAACTAAATGACAAAATTAAAAAAAATCCCTGTTCTGAGGAATTTTTCAAGAGAGGAATTCCTTAAAAGAGAGTAAAAATTCCTCTTCTGAGCAGTTTTACTCTCTTTTAAGGATCTGATTTGTCTCTTGGATCTACCATTGATGCTGCAGGTCTATGTAACATAAGTAAAAAGGAAGGTTTTTTGCTAGTTTTTGCTGATTAAACCTTTTTGAGATTACCTAATTACTGTTACATTGTTTTCCTTTTGTTTTATTATATTGTTTATAGTTTATAATAAAAATAGAACAAGAAAAAGAAAGGACTATGTTTCAAATTTGAGTTCTGCACACTAAATAAAATATGCACTTTAAAAATTATTTGAATTATCAATGTCATACTTCGTGGTATTGGAACAATATGGGATATGATCCATATTTTATTCTTTTCAGAATATGATAGCTTGGCTAAGTTAATACAGAAACATCCAGATAGACATGAAACATTGAAGTAAGTATGAAATGAACTCAAGTAGCAAATACATTACAGAGTACCGCTATTAAATAATAATGGCAAAATAATTTATATGTCCATCATCAATAGTATTTGTTAAGTGAGTTTTACCCCCATTTTACGACATTTCTTGCCACAGTTGTTAAATGAATCACTGCAGTTGTGAAATTAGTAACACAATTGTTAAGTGAATCTGGCTTCCCCATTGATCTCTAGTCAAACAGTCACAAAAGGTGATCACATGACCTCAGGACCCTGCAACCATCATAAATATGAGTCAATTGCCGAGCATCTGAGTTTTGATCATGTGACCATGGGGATGCTGCAATGGTCATAAGTGTGAAAAGTTCATAAATCACTTTTTTCAGTGCCTTTGTAACTTTGAACATTCTGTTGAACAACTGTTTTAAATCAAGGACTTCTTGTACAGGGGCTGGTAGTATGCCAATGAACAGTATGTACTCCTGTTTTTGAAAACATAACAGAAACTGAAGTATGGATTAGTTTTGCTAATCTTGAAAAATGGGCTTTTCATTGAGTTCATTTCCCGGCACAATTGAAAGTGCTACTTTAATATTTTGAGCTTTCAATGAATATTTCAAATAAATTGCTTTTGCGCAAGCCTGAATTACAATAATCTTTATGGATTCTTTTGCCATTAAAGGTGAGATAAGGCATCCTCAGCTGAGTAATCTGTCTTTGGAATAATTCCCCCCCCCCCAAGGTTTCTAGAAGAAAATTAGACAGGTTGCTTTCTCTCCAATGCCTTTTTATTTGTGCAGACATTTTCATACTTGGTTTATGGTATTTTACTGCCGAAAGTCTGCTCTATCTGGTTTGGATTCTGTTAATTGGTTTAAATCAGAATTTCATTATTATTTGCAAATGAGCTACTTAGGGGATTTTGAACAGTTAATGTGTTCAATATAAACGATTAAAATAAAACGAGTGAAGGTACTATGCGTTAAATGACAATGCACTTAATATGTTCTCAGGCAGTTGGAAGCTCTGGGGAAAGAACTGCAGCATCTGTCTCATATCAAAGAAAGTGTTGAAGACAAAGTAAGTTTGTCTGATAAGCTTATTGATTCAGAATAGAGAGAGTCTTTTTTAAAAGTCCATATTCTTCAGTATATTTCCTTTCTGTGCTTCAGCTGGAGTTGAGACGAAAGCAATTTCACGTTCTTCTGAGCACCATCCACGAGCTTCAGCAGACACTGGAAAGTAAGTTATGCTAGTACCGTACATAAAAACATGATCGTTTTCCACAGTTTCCCTCCCTTTTATGTAGCTGCTTGACTCTCCAAATTTTCATTGACTTAGAGACGTTCAGGACAGCTTTATTAAATGTTGAGTTCTGAATTCTGCCCTCAACTTACCTTATGCTGTCTTATTCTTTCTAGTTGGTCTTTAAGTTGTGGCTATAATTGAGTTCCACAGTTAACGATTGTAGGTCATGATGGTGGTAAAACTATGTGACTGGACCCGATTTTATGTTCTTTTTTGTAGTACCGTATTTTCCGGCGTATAAGACGACTGGGCATATAAGACGACCCCNTGAATTCTGCCCTCAACTTACCTTATGCTGTCTTATTCTTTCTAGTTGGTCTTTAAGTTGTGGCTATAATTGAGTTCCACAGTTAACGATTGTAGGTCATGATGGTGGTAAAACTATGTGACTGGACCCGATTTTATGTTCTTTTTTGTAGTACCGTATTTTCCGGCGTATAAGACGACTGGGCATATAAGACGACCCCCAACTTTTCCAGTTAAAATATAGAGTTTGAGCGAGAGAGAGGGGGGGAGAGAGAAAACTTGATGAGTAATATGACAAACCACATGTGTAAAGGAATAAAATAGAATACCCGTATTTTCCGGCGTATAAGACGACTGGGCGTATAAGACGACCCCCGACTTTTGAGAAGATTTTCAGGGTTTAGAAAGTCGTCTTATACGCCGGAAAATACGGTAGTCATTAAACAAATGTCCCGTTACTTCCTGTTTCCGGTAAAAACAACACCACACAGCAAACAAAGGATTTGCTTAATGACCACAGCTTAATTGCTTAACAATTGTGACATTTTGGTTTAATTAATTCTTTTATTATTTATTATTTATTTGTTCAATTTCTATAGCCACCCAAAGTCATTTGCTGAGAAGGGTAGCTATAGAAATCTAATGAATGAATGAATGAATGACATAATCATTAAATAACTACTGTGGTCATTTGGGCCAGTTGCCTTTGCACTCAAAATGTGGTCATGTGACTCTGGAATTTCAAAAACGGGTCATAAGTCTCTTTTGGGGGAGTCTTTCTTAAGCAACTGTTAGTAAACTAAGCAAACTAAGCAGTATTAAACTATGCAGAATGAAAAAAAAATAAGATAGGGGACCCCAGGAGAAATGGGCAATGTTTTTCCTATCAGTGTCTCTACATACGTGTAATATTAGTATTTTTTTAAAAAAAATGTTTATTTTGCATATATTTCAGATGATGAGAAGCTTTCAGAAGCTGAAGAATCATCAGATGCTCCAATGGAAGCAGAAGATAAACAATAGATGTGTATAGCTCAGAAATCTGGTAATTAATTTTCCTGAAGATGATTAATAACTAGGCTTTTGAATTTATTTTGTATGTTACATATAGTCCAAAGTAACTATATTATGTTTTTTACCTGAATGAACTTCCACACTTATGTACAATAAATACTTGAAATTACACAATAAAGTAATTTAGTCTTGGGTTTATGTTCTGGAGTTAAGCTACCAATTATATGGGTTATATGGTGAGATATTACATTGAAACAAACATCAGAGATAATTTAAAATTCTAGTAATAGGCAAGTGAATATTCTGAACCCAGAACTTGATACACTGAAAATGTGACTTGTATAATATTAATATTATATTATATTAATATTAATCTTACATTAATATTTGTTATCTCAGATTATTAACAACACATACATGGAAACATATTTATTTAAAATGTATTATTTTGTAGTCCTTAAGAGATCATCCAAAGCAGTTTAGATTATTCTGATTCCCAAAGATTTAGATTATTGCAATTCTGCATTTCTCAGAGCCATTGGTTACGCTGATTTTTTTCAGTGCTACTATCCAAGAGGTTAATTAGTGATCGAGTCACTTAAGAGATCTGTGTTGCTTTGTTTTTCCAAGAAAACAATGAAGCATAGAAGCAATTTATAGTGTCAGCTTCATGTAATAGAGGCTTATCTCAGTCTTCCTTAGCCAAATCTTTGTATTGTTCAGGCATTGTATTGTCATTTTATCTTTTTTTGTTTTGAGAGGTACTTTCCCCATAATAGAACATAAGGTGGGAGGTCATAAAACCTCCTGGCCAGTCAATATTTTGTGTAGGAGTTCCAGATTTGGTGCTACAAGCAGCTCATCCTCAGAGTAGTTGTCTGCCCATTCTTTTGCAATTCACAGGAGGGGAAAGGAGAGAATTACAAAGCAAAACATAATTCCTTGCTTTTGTCTCTAGTGTGATCTGTATTAAGGAACAGAGGCTTGAACCACGACCACTGCCATCCCCAGGACCATTGATACCACCAAAATAAATCCTCCTGTGGATTGAAGGATTTTCAGTTGCAAGTCTGAGAATCAATTGGCTGGGCTAAGTAGAATGACCAAACTGCAGCATTCTAAATGCCGGCGTGTGCCATCCCAACTATAGGTCAAGAATTAAGATTTCCATGTATTGTCAGTTCAAATTACTGTATATTATAAATGGACGGGCATTTGTGATGATATTTTTGTTTCCTTTCATTCATTTCTTTATCTACTTTTAGGACTTGTGTGCAGAACAGATCACGCTTTAGGTCATACTAATGCAAAAAAAAATAATAATTGAAAATTCAAAAGAGTTCACAAACTTTTGAACACCATTGTGTATCTATTAGGATATTTTCCAAGTGAGGGAGTCAGAGAGAATGTCATATCTTGCATAACCCAAAGGCATCCTAGATTTTTCCAGAATGACTTTAATGTATTCGGTGAGTCCCAACTCTGCCAATTTGTGGACCTCATGAAAAGCAGAGCTGTTTTGTTGATTTTATATTGTTCTTCATTCCAAAGGAAAGGTGCTGTTTCATTTGCCAAACTAATTGGTGTTATGAAATGGTGAAAAGAGCTATTCACTGAGTTTGTCTTGCAGAGTAAAATGCCTTGCCCTGCCCTACCAGTTCATGAGCATGTTACACTGAAGCAAATTCTACCAAATTGTGTTGGACTCACTTCAAAGGAATGTAGTTAGCACCTGGATAACAAGCAGTGCAGGATTAGTTGATAAGTGGATGAAAGAGTTGCATGGAATTACAATAGAAAGACAAAGGTCGATGTTGCATGATGTAATTAAATAATACATTGTCTTGATTTCCTGCATTTTAAGCATCACTACATTTATATCTGATGGCATGCTTTTTCTTTTTGGGCAAGGAGAAGCCTTTTTTTTTCATCTGCAAATTTAAGGAACAAAATCTCAAACCAGCAGCTATCATAATAGATTGGATTAACTTAACATGCCCAACCAATTTCCCTTCCTCCCCAAAATACAATAGTATTTTAGGGAAAGGTGTGAACATACTCTCTGTTCAGGCTCTGAAGTTTCCCTGTCTAATATTTGGGGAAACCTTTTCATGTAGTTTCATATATTCAGTCTATTGTGTGGATTGAACTCTATACTGTAACCTTTTTCTGCTAAGGGCTGCATTTTTTTTTCAAAGATAGTCCATCAGAGATAGTAGGTGAAAAGAGCAAGATTTACAATATTGTAGGGTTGTATTGCTCTTTTCCTTCTGCAATTCGATCTCTGTCTGACCCTTCCTTTCTTCCTTTGGTTGTTATCTCTCATCTAGGGATGGTGAAATCAGATACTAAGTCAAGAAGTGAATGCAGTTTTCAGATTGCAGATGATAAAGTCCTAGTATATAGGACTTTTTTCCCCATCCTCACTCATCACCCCATACATTTATTTACTGAAGAAGTCAAAACTGCATTTAAAGTTGTAAAGGTCAACTCAATTGTAAAACTAGATGAAATATAGAAACAGCAAATAATTATAAGTAAGTGTTAAACACACACACATATAAGGATTAGGTTAAAACATTGTGGCAAGGTGGAGTACGAGGTTAAATTTGCAAGTTGTTGTATGCATGTTAGTTAAAAGGGACAGCTTAAAAACACAACTGTAAAGATAGTATATCTGGGGGCAAACAATTGCAGACTTCTGACAGAGTCATGCCTAAACAGATTTATTCCACTCTGATCAAGCAAAACAATGTGATTTTAAATTTTCAAATACCTCATACAAGTACTTGAATGAAATATATTTGGTTGTGCGCCAATTCAGCAGATTCCACTTAATGTCATCTGTCCCACTCAGTAAAGAAAGACACCTGGACCATCCTTTTGACCGAGAGTACACTTTACTGAAGTAAAACTTGTTACAGGAGTTCCAAGGCAGAATCTGATGAATTGGCATGCAAACAATATACTTCACTTTCTTTTTTCCCCAGGACTTCTCCCTGTTATCAGTCTTTGACCAATTAAAAAGTTTCAGGTTGTTTGGGTAACAGACCCTCTGCGTGCCTCCTTCATCTCCACATTTTTTAAGGTGATGGATTGGTGCATCTCCCTTGTTGGGCCGACACTGCTTGGCTCCCAGACAACCCCCCCTCCCACATTCCATTCTCCTCCCTCCCCCATTGCAAAAATGTCAGAATTCAAAGCAATGCTAGCAGGATGGCGGCCATGACAATATCGTTACTATACACTACCTTATAACCAATAAATAATATATATATATATATACTGTATATTTCATAAGTTGGGAATATTCTTACTATATTGTACATACAAGCAAATAAAAGACAATAAAAATTAGTTTTGAGTATAGACCAGCAGAGGGCTATCACAACCGAACTATCAACCATTCAGTAGCTGCAGTATTCAAAATTAGAAGAAGATCTCATAGAGAATTTCTGAAGATCATTTCACAAAAATTAAGCTTCAGCTTTAATTTTAAGACCTGCCACACTGCAACTGCCTTTTCTTTATTACTTCTCTCTGCCCCCTGGTCAAGTTCCTGTATAAAAGAATATACAACAAGCCCTGAGATGTTTCTATTGTGATAACCGTTATGGTTTTCTAATTGGGAAAACAGCTAAATTGTCAATTAGATCAGGGATCCCCAACCTGGAGCCGTGGAAGTAGTAGGTGAGTGCATGCACACTTCATTTGTGTGCATGCGCAGCTTCATTTGTGCAAGCAATGGGTGCATGTGCCTGCCGCTTGTGCAAATGGAGCTGTGCGCGCAGTTGCCCACTGCCCAAGCGGAACCATTTCCTCTCCCCCCCCTCCTTCGGTCCGCAAAGCTGGTAAGGTTGGAGACTGCTGAATTAGATAAGGCATTCTAGAAACAAAAATTGTGCAACCATGTGATCATAAATTACTGTTTTCTGTATCTTCTAAAAATTTTTTATTTAATGTGTATATAATATAATACAGTGGTGGTGAACCTATGACATGGGTGCCAGAGGTGGCACTCAGAGCCCTCTCTGGGCACGCGCCCCGTCGCCCCAGTCCTAGGCCTTCACCTGGGTTTTATAAAACCTTTTCACTTTAGGCCTCCGCCGCCGTGTGCAAAAAAAAAAAAAAGTTCAATCAGTCAATTTCAACTTCTCGCAGGGAAAAAAAAAGATCTTGCAAAGTTGGAATTGATTGATTGAACTTTTTAGTCCTACCCAGTCTGCCGTTACCACTGCAGCCACACCCACCCAATGGGCCACTCCCACCCAATTGGCCACACCCACCCGGCACTCGACGATGCATAAGTGGGTTTTGGGTTGCAGTTTGGGCACTCAGTCTGTAAAAGGTTCGCCATCACTGATATAATATAACAAATATATATAACAACAACAAAATAAAACACACAACGCATATATAATTGATTATGTGCCACAAGTGGGAGTCAACTCTTAGCGACCTCATAGATAGATTTTTCTCCAAAATAATAATCTCTCCCCAACCTGGTCCTTCAGGTCTTCCAACAGTGCACTCATTGCTACTGCAATTAAGTGCATTCACCTTCCTGGTAGTCATCCTTTTACCTCTTTCTTTCTTTCTACCTTTTCCAGCATTATGGACCTCCCAAAGAAGCTGGGATTTCACATAATGTCTCCAAAATGTGTTATTTTTATTTATTTATTATGCAATCTATTTATTTTCCTAGCTGTCCATGGTATATGCACGAGAGTCTTCTCCAACTATTTGAAAGCATCAATGTTCTTTCTGTCCGGCTTCTCAAAGTCCAACTTTGATTTCTGTGGAGTATCATAGAAAAAAATCATGTGCGTAATTCGGAAACTCTGAAACTAGATGCCCCAAAGGCTTTAATGTAGCCATATCATAAACACCATTAATAATCCAAATGATATTCAGCATTTCTTTAGTGTGATGTTGAGTGCTATCTGACTTGAGAGACCCATCGTGTGTCACTATATCATCTGTCATTTTATATTGCCTATCCGCATCGTGGGTTTTTTGGGTTAAATACAAGAGTGATTTTTCCATTATTTTCTCCTGTGCAGTATGAATTGTTGCCTTTACTTTTGCCACTAAAGTCATCAGCCACTTCTAAGATCTTCCTGTTGCTGCCCAATATTAGTACCTGTTTCCTTTAGGCAGTTGGGAAGATCTTCATCCCTTGGATGATCCTGCTGGGATTATTTATTTGGCTCCTGGTGTTTTTTGCTCACTCCTGTTACCGGTAACATCACCATCATCACAATAATGAGGTAGCATAGAGAGGGAAAGGAAATGCACACACCATACATTGTGAATATAAAAAAATATTAACAAACTTAAGATTAAATGCACAGATTCAGACATCCATATTTGGTATTTCTATCCCAAAAGTCATTTCTACAAATGGCGGTTATTTTTTAGGAATTTATATTTAATTGTTCCATATTCTTCAAGACACTTTGTTGTTGATTTTTCAGCCAGTGGTATTCCTTGTACTTTTCTATATCGTGGATCTACAGAAGTATATAAACTCCAAAGTGTTGCTAAAATAAATCTACTCATCAACAATAAACAAATTAATTTTTATCCCACTTTCCACTTTTTTTTCTTTTTATTGGGGCAGTTTTTTCCAAGCTTTTCCATTTCCATTAGCATATTTTCAGTACAGCTGCTCGGAAGGAAGTATCTTAAGGTACGATGCAAATCTCTTTGTTGTTATGTAGTTCAATAATTACCTTGCCAATTGCAAGTCACATTAAAGGTATGTGGAGAGGGACAGGATTTGGGGAATGAGAAGTCAGTTTGTTTTCAGTGAGGGCCCCTACAGAGAGCAGATAATCGGGGAGGGAGGGAAGGAGACAGGGAGAGAGGAGAAGGAGGAGGAGAAGAATGTACACAACTGGGACTAACAATTCAGGCCCAAAGCCTAGGAAACTGGAAGAATGTAGTAGTAAGGGAAAGTTGCAGGGAATATTAATTGTGTGAGGTTGCAGTTGCTGTTTCATCTGTTTATTATTGCAGTTTCAACTGCAGACAGTTTGATTTCTGCTCCAGTTCTGGATATCTCCATATCCTTGTTTATTTGCTCAGACCGATTACAGATGACCGAATGCTGGATTTGGAATGTAGCCTTCAGCTTCACACAATTTGTCCAGTTAACTATTCTCTCAAATCCCTTCTGCATAACTTCTGTTCAAATAAAAATCCCATCTTTCCTTAATTTC